CGTTTCGTTTAAGTGTGTCTATTTTTTATTTGCACCCTTCACAACTCACTGCTGGGCACGACACGCTGACTAGAAAAGCAAATACACAAGAACTGGAAACTCTATGTTGCCCGTGAAATCTAAACGAGTGAAAAGATCACTTGTGGGTTCAGCTCGAATGTTTCTTCTGAAAACTCACTCAAAGAAACAAAAGCCTACTTGTTTAAAGAGTAATAAAAGAAATGAGACATTGTATTTGCACTTTCAATATCATATTAAAGAATAAATCAATTAATAGTGCACTGGATGCATAGCACGCATAGATGTATTAGCCTTTGAAGAAAATGAGTTATGAATAACAGAACAGAATCCATGTTGAAAATTCTCATCTGATAAAATATGCTATTCGAGAATCGTCATCACATACAAATAGTGAGAGAGGAGAATTTAGAGACTGGCTGCTCTGATCGGTAGTTTTCTTTGGCTTCTCCGATCAACGCCAGGCGAATTTCATAGCAGTGCTCTAACAAACGGGCCACAGACCGCGAGTGACCGCTTTCTTCCCTCTTTCGTTGTCCTATCCTCACCCTCACACATACACTTACATGCACTACACTACCATACATGTCGGGTCTTTGGACCTTATTCCGTCTGCCCCCTTTAGGAGATACATTGTTGAGTGAAAACTCCGCAAGCCGACGAGTAAGTCGGCGCCAGATCTCGTCATCCAGCAGAGGAAGATCACCGCCACCTTCCGAAGAGGAATAAAAAACATGCACTACACTTATGGGGCTAATAACCTTAGCATTTAATGCGCTCGTAAATGCAATCCTTGAATGAATGAATGAATCACTCAATTAATCGATCAAATTGAAAGTAAATGAGCAACGAACTTTGCTGTCACCGACTACACCCTCTGCACACACTCCAACGGGACGCTTAAGTGGGAAACTCCCAACGCAAATCGAGATGCAGCTCCCGCCGCCGCCGCCGCCGGCAGCCACACGCAGCCACGCTAAACTACGGGCTGACTCACCAGCCACCAGCGGAACGCCGCATTTGCCTGAATCGTCTTGAGGACAGCGCGCAGCATTCGCCCATTGACCTCTGCAACACACGCGGCTCGTGTACGCGCGGCGGGGCCGGCGGGCGGCCAGCGGGACGGTAGATCGGCGGGGCGGGTGAGGGCCGGGGTTGGGGCGCGGAGCAGGGCGAGGCAGGGCCGTGGCGGAGAGGAGCGGGGTGAGCGGAGCAGTGCCAGAGCGGGAACGGAGCAGAAGGGAGCGGGGGGAGCGGAGGGAGAGTGGGGGTGGGGCGGGGCGGAGCGGTGGGCGGTAAGATGGGCGGGGCAAGGCGGGAAGGCGGGAAGCGTGGCGGGGTAACGGCCATTGCTGGTGGGAGCAAGGGCGCCGGGCGAGGAAATACTGGAGAGCGGTGCGCATGGACGCGGGGGCCCGTTAGCCCCCGCCCGGGGGGGGGGAAGGGAGGGTAGGCTGAACGCATTTATAACACGCGGTTCGCACGGGAGCGACACTGGCAGTGCATTTGCCAGGGCCCTGAAGATGGCACGATTCCTCTCGTCACCTATCTTGGGCAGGCAGCCCGCAGCCCTCCCCTGCTCGCTGGATAGAGAGCCCTCTCACCGGGCGCCCCAATAGCAATGCCGTGAGTATCCAAATCCGGTTTTCTAAATCAATTAATACGCACAATAAAACTTCATTTGCGATATCAGACTGAATCCACTAACACCAGATTCAGACTACAACAATAACAACAATAATAATGGTAATATAATAATAATGATAATAATAATAATGATGATGATGATGATAATAATAATAATAATAATAATAATAATAATGGCTTGGAAGAGCCGACATTTTGCACAAAGTTTTGTAGAGGCACCGACAGCCCAAGATCTGCTCCTTAGGATGCTGTTTGCAACCTGGACTACATTTTATATCCAACCTACTGATATCATCTTTAGTCGTGAAGTACAGGAATAATAATGATAATATTAATAATAATAATAATAATAATAATAATAATAATAATAATAATAATAATAACAACAACAACAACAACAACAACAAATGTATAACGGTTATCTTATTCCGAGCCACAAAGCGGCGCAGCAGGTTCATGAGGAGTACTCCGAACAGCGTCTGCGACGCTTGATGAATCTTCTATAGATCAGTGCTGTGATTTATAAGACGGCAGATAATTAGCCCATCTCTCAATGGGGAATGGGGTTGGGATAGGAAAAGAAAGATCACGGGCAGCACAATCACTTATTCTAGGGCGCTGCTCCGGCACTTGCTTGGAAAGATAGGGGAGACAATGGAAATCATTGATCAGTCCAGGTGGCCTACAAATACGGTTCCGCCCGATGCTACGTACTCCCCGATGTTAAACGCATTTACCGGCACGTGGCTGGCACCGAACCGGCTCAAGCCGCAATGCTTTCCCTGAATGCATTCAGCTTCCCACGTTGGCAATAATAATAATAATAATAATAATAATAATAATAATAATAATAATAATAATAATAAAACGAGTACGTCGTGCAACAAATAAAGATTTGTATGTATCATTCAAAAAGGGGTAATGTTTCCTAAGCTTGTGAAGAAGACATTCATGATACAGAAGTAATGGTTCAGAAATAATGCCTAATTTATTTGTATGGATTTGATCACAAGTTAGAGATTAGCCAGTCGTCTCAGTCACGTGAACAGAAACACAGTGCGGTTAAGTATATCGCGAAAGAGGGCATCCGGTACAGATCGACTCTGCGATCGAGCCTGTTACACACGGTCATTTTTGTCGGTACAGGAAAGTTGTGCACCAGACTAGATGTAGGTTTTACGAAAAAAATACTCATGCTTCATTTTTCGGTACAGATTTTTTCCCGTTTGACTACCACTCTCCTGGCGACACTTTTTGGCACTTTCTCTGGTTTGTAATGCGGAAGGGGGCGATTTGTTTCTTTTGTAACACTTAAGAGTTTCCTAATTTGTTGAATTGTAATGCGAAGTGATTATGTGGTGAGAAATGAAACCTGCACCTTGTTTTAATATTTCGTTGCGTGCTCAGTCCCTAACTTAATTTGTGATCAGAGTTCAACTGTTTGATCTTCAGCGGTTTCTGCGACCTCCAGAGAAAATATTTTCATTACGATTGCGTGCAGAAAACGAAATGACCGAGACAAAACACTCGTTCTCGTTCATTTAGTTGCGATGAATTTAGTTTCTATGCAAAACTACGCTATTTCGCGTTTTCAGAAATGTTTAAACGCCAATTTCTCAAAAACGGCTCGACAGTTTTTGTTCAATTGTCTGAAACGGATACTTTTAAGTGCATAGTTTAAGATGACATAAAAGTGGTTTTGCTGTATTATTTTGTTTCTATAAAAATTACACAAATGTAACTTTTTTAAATATCCCTCACGTTGTTAATACGCGCTATCCGAAGATTTGTATATATATTTGCATATTTGAGTGGAAATGATTAAAATGACTTTCGATGAAGTTTTTCGAACACGTAACAACACTTCCTGTGAAAACAAGCTTCAATTTTTGCAATTGCACTAAAGTTTACAAGAAATTTTCTTAAAAGCAGTTCACAATTTTTCAACTCAAACATTCTTAAAGTATGAAGTTTTAATCTTCTTCGATATTCTTAGAGTAATATATCGGTTATACTATTAGAAAACCAAAAACGTGAGACAATTTGAAGAAAATGTACTGTGGGTAGTGATAGATGGCAGCTGGCTAGAGGATGGAGGAGGCCGAAAAACTAACCCAGACCAAAGAAATTAGAACACTAATTAGTGAGTGAAAGTTTGCGCCATTGTGTACCACCACTACTCCCATTCGTTATTGTATATTGTTCTTGCTCACAATAAGACAACTTTATATTATTGCTTATTCTTGCCTAGAAGTAAAAATGATAGTACCCAATATTTATTCAATACCCAGCAATTTGTCCTCCCATTTCTACATCTCAAATGTTGAGGAACGAAGCGAGGAGAATTTGTCTTTGGTAAGCATATTTATTAACATATTACGTCAGTTTTTCAATATTCACCTTTACATCTTATATCGTTCCGTGAATCATAATCAAGAGAGTTCACAGATATTAATTCACATATTTGTATAATAATAATTCTTCTTCAAATAATGATACCGCAAGGTAACGAATTCTTTTACATCAGCATGTAATTTAATTTGTTTATTTATGTTTTATTTAATGTAATAGTATTTGCATAACGTATTTCCTCTTAAGAATCCTGCACGAACCACCACTGTATACTATCGAGCAAATTGTATCATAATGCCATAAAACCTTGTACGAAGATTCATTAACAAACTTTTACTGACTGTTCCACTCATGAGTATTAGTGTTAATCCGGTCAGTAGTGATTTATAATAAAAGATGGTTATAAACCAACTCCTAAAATCGGGCTCCTAAACCAAAACAAACGGTCTCCTAAAATCGAAATGTTCACATATATACTATTCCCTATTGTCTTACCGCAGATGACTTTCATCTGTTTTGTAAAATAAATAATTTAAAAAAGATATGACGGAAAATTCAGTAATCGATAGAGCGTCTGGTCCACCAAGAAATATGTTTTCTTATTTTTAACATTATGTTGATACTATTTTGCTCTCGGTGGCTCATTGGTTAGCATGCTTGCTTTTCAGAGTTCGATTCACGGTTGCGTAAAAATAATAACTGTCCGCTTTTCCTTACAAATGTACCAGTGTCTATGAGAAAGCCCATTCTAAGGTTAAGATTAGAGTATACGTTGAAGGAAGTCGAGCCTTAGAACAGGACAGTTTATGCTTATTTAATAGATTTTTGGCTTTAATTTGGTGAAATAAATGTAGCTTATGAATTCTACTCTTGGTTTGAAATTCTTACTCGCAAACTGATCGATTTTTCAAACCACTAGTGAACTTTTTTATGATATATCTTCAGTGTTCTCGACTTTTCTATGTTACTAGGCCTTTCTTTCGATGTGTTTTACTAACCAACTACTTTATATTCTAGCACCTCAGTTCAAACTGTGCACAAGAGATGAAAAGCTCACATCTTGTTTGGAGGAGGCCTTTGTCGTGGCAATTCATCAACTAGCTCCAGGTAAGTGATGTGAAAGAAGTTGGCATACTTCAGAAGAAATCATAAAAACACTTTATAATATTATTGATACTTCATATAGTATCAGCACAATATAAAAATTTCTATATCCAGAAATGTTTTGAAAAATTTATAACATGTATTTACTACAATTGTCACATACTTTCGAACTCTGAATTATAGCGAAATGAGAGGTGGCAAATATTATCAATATTATAACTTTTCTTTTGCTCTCTCACATTTTAAATGTGAAATTTGTTCATTTATTCTTGCTTTATTAAAAATAGAAATCTCTTTTGTTAAAGGAAGCTTTGACTTTTGAATATCAACCTATTCAAATTCTGTTTTTCTTCAGGTCTTCCAGAATTTGGCATACCGTCCTTGGACCCATTGCATTTACCGGAAATTGGAGTGGGAGACGAAACTTCAAATTCCCCTGTCAACTTGCGAATACACTTGACAGATATTCTAGTTCACAATCTCAAGACCGCGAAACCTTCAAACACAAAGTAAGTACATTACTAACATTGTAAAATCATTCTGAACATTTTCTTATAAAACTCAGTTAATTATATATTTCCTATTCGGGTTGCAATAGAAAATATTAAGAAATCATATTAAATTATGTAGATCATAATTATATAAATAAATTTTAACTATAGTGAAATGATCCTCAATATCTTCTTCAATATTTAATATATGATTAATCTGTGGTGTATATATGTATATGTGTACCAATATTTATTTTTGGTTCTTTAATGTAAAAGAAATATATTCTTTCTCCGCTACTATTGCCCTGCTCTGCTCAAGCATCTATTTAATAATCAAACAGTTTTCCTTTATTAGCAGTAAGGTTCGGAAATTTATGAAAAATCATATTTTTAATTATCAGCTTTATAATATAATTATCAAATGTTCGCAAAACACAATTAAACGAACAGAAATCCGATGGCTTTAAATAGCATATTAGTGTATATTTAGTGCATTTTATGTTAATGCATCATGTTTCCATTTAATTTAAATTATTGTTCACATTTTATTACTTTTCCGCTCTTAATGTGACATATTTCTCTCGAAATTTCCATTATTACGCATATTTGTCCTCTCGAACCGAAAATATACTTCATAAATTCGAATATGAACGCTATTCAAGAGAAACTTTAACGATTACTCGTATAGTAACCGACAACATATCAAGAGGCAGCGGGCCTCACAAGGTCACGTACACACTTTCTTTTTGTACTAATATTCAGCGTTTGTATGTAGTTTGATTGATTAGTGATTCCAGGCGTGTCAACTGCATAAGTCATTAGTTCAGTGAGCGTAGTACATGTTTTTATCGCGGGCGGATGTTTTCCCGCTTAATGGCGAGATACGGCCGTCGGCTTGCGAGGTTTCCCTGAACCAGGTATCGCCCACCTGCGAGGCACCGCCCCACCCGGGACAAGCTCCAACATGTGTGGGAGTGTAGTGCTTGTCAGTGCAAGAGTCAGTAAGGGGTAGAAATGGACAAGGAAGACAAAGGAACGATCGCGCGCGCGATTCAAAGTTATTTTATAAGGGGCATTCGCTCAGGCATTCGCTTAGTGAATTCTCCATTTGGCAGCAGCTGACCTAGCTATGTAGCTAGTGTCAAAAATCCTGCTACCGTCGGGACTCAAACCGAGAACCTCCTGATCAGAGACCCTGAAGTGTTATCAATTGATTCCCTGAGCTATATAAGCCGTACCCTGAGTTTTACATGTAGAAATAAAATTGGCTAAAATATTAATATGAAACAATTACAGGTTTGAATGGTCGACACGCTTGGAAATATATACTAGGCCATCACTTCATTTTGAAGCGGCAGAATCCCCAAGCACAAAATAGTTCTATAAATGTTCGGCTATCCGGGAGAACCCAAGTCGTGGGCTGGAAGGCCGACGTTCCGTCTGACGTGTCGCAGGCTTCATCAGGGCAGTGACCAACTCACTGCTCTTACAACCTCACTGCCCTGAGGAAGCCTGCGACGTGTCCGGCAAAACGTCGGCCTCCCAGCCAACGACGCGGCGTCTCCCGGATAGCCGAAAATTTATGGATTCGAGCCGCGGAAGGTTACTTGTATACAAAATAGTTCCACCTACCCACACGTTAGCGCACACATACACACACTCACGGAAAAAAATCACCTTCCATATTTAAAAAAAATTGTAGAAAACGTATTCCCATTTGTTTTAAAGCTACAAAAATGTTTTATGACTTGTTCGAATATTTTACTAAGTATTGCTTTGGGGCACAGGCCCCACTGATGTGAAGCCCTAAGCAATTCTCTATTTAGTTTGTTCGTAAATCTGGCTCAGGTTACGGGCTCGAATTCCACTCGACCTACTAGTAACCCTTGTATTTGAGGGTACACTGTGTTTTTGTTGTATCATAGAAGATCAGACATTCTGCTGGCTCAAGAATCTTTGAATGGTTTTCCGTGTATTGTGTGGCGTAGTCCGAGAAACGCTCTTCAGAGGGTTTATGAATGTGAATTCAACAAATCATTATTTCATCTAAACACGATATGAAAATGTATAGTATATAAGGAGTTCCTATTAAAACTAGGTAATTAGTATTAGTATTGTGGTGAGTTTTCCTTAGTATTTAAAATAAAATAATTATATGAGTCGTCATTACCAACAATATTACAATAGCAGCTTTCGATGGTTTAGCCATCATCAGTTTTCTGCTGAACGGAAGCCACAAAACGACTACGTAGGTTGGTAATGACGACTCATATAATAATTTCTTAGGTAATTATACTACAAATTTCAGTGCTGCACTATTTGTATGTCATTAAGCTGTCTAATTCTATTTTCTTGCAATATTAAATATTCATCATGATTATGTGGACTAATACATATATTAATTCATTTTAGGGCAGATCTAGATAATTACCAATTATCAACTCATGGAATTGTGAACCTGTTAGGCGTGGAAGCTGACTATGTGATGGATGGCCGAATTTTGCTACTACCTGCAAAAGGCAAAGGAAGAGTTTCATTTAACGTCAGTGAGTATCTAGTTTACCGCAATAATAGTAGTATTTTTTAGTTTTTTTTAATGAAAGCAATGGTACTTTAGTTATGCACAAGATGATTAAAGAACTATTTCCAAGCCGTGAATTTGTATGTTAACTGAAGAAGTCAGAACATTTTAAATTGGGCTTTTATATTAATGTCTCAAATAAAATAGATTCATTCGAAGGCAAAAATTAGGTGTACGGAAGTAAATCTTCGTCTGATCCGTTGCAATGATTGCAAACTCATTGATGATCCATGCGATGTTTGGGAATTTATTTTTCTTCTTGCATAAAATTGGAGTGTGTTTCCATGATTTCATCATCACAGCCTTTTTACTTTCTCGCACTTACTTTGTAAGAAGAGGATGTCATTGTAATCGAGCGCCGGAAAATGGCAAATGTTTTGCAGAAAAACTCTTATTGTAGGGCCCTGGTCACAAAAAAGTGAATAAATCCTGTTGCTTTATGTAGTAAATTACTTCCTTTAACACGTGAGGTAGCCAGAATGCATATTTTGTGGGTCCTAGATACAGAAAGTTCTATTAACGGCAACACCTGCCTGTCTGCTTGACTGTTTTGCAATTTTTAATAAAACCTATTTTTTCAGCGAACTTGGAAGGTGACGCTGCGTTTAAAGGCGAGAAGCAGATCAAAAAAGGCAAAGAGTATTTGAAAATCAACCAATTCGATTTTCGCATCACACATATCGAAAGTGTGAACATTTACTTCGATAATTTGTTCAATGGCGACAAAACTCTAGGTAAGCAAATAAGTGTATTATATCAATTTACAAAATATTACAAAAATCTTTTATTTCTCTATATTCACAGTCGCAAAAACATCGTGGTTATATGTGACTATCTCAGTTCTACAAGTATTGCTATACTGGCAGAAGTTTCACCTTTACTTTAATGTAAATTACATTGAAGTATTTACCATTAATATACATTATATTCAATGTACACGTGTACATTATAATTAGAGTCAAGATTTATGGTCATATCTGGATGGAATGAATGATCTTGATGGACATTAATGTACGTTATGAAAGATAGTGGACGGGGAAGAGGGTCAACTTCTACGTGTACACTGATTTTAATTAAAGCATTAAACTTAATGTACACACGTTAAGTACACTTGTTTAAGTTCTGTAAGTGTACAAGTACATGTCTACATTCGGCTACATTAAATTCTATGATCTTTCTGACAGTGTAATTTAAATATTACATTAAAGATCGTGATCGTTGGGAGCTGTAATCAGTAACAATAAATATTACATTACCAACGAATCATGATGTATTCACATATAACTTCTTAATAATAAGAGTGTAGTTTCATTTATCTTCTAGTAGTAAATTCACGTGTTTTCACTTACAGGTCCCCCTATCAATAAACTCATCAACGAAAACTGGCAGGAAATTTGGTCTCAGGTGCAGCTTCCTTTGCAAGAACTTTTGCAATACACCTTCAAGGAATTTTCGCGACGCATTTTCGACAAGGTTCCCATGGACGACGTCTTCCTGCGAAAAACACGCTGAATCTTTTAAATTGTGATCTTGATTCTGTCATCCGCTAATGCAGTCCATTCTGTCAGACAGTCTATTTTAGGATTGTTTGGCTGTGGTCAATCATACTGTGATACAAACCCATCAAAATACATGACAATAAAGAAACTTTATCAATCGAAATCACGCATATTTTTGTTCAATCCTTATGTGTATGTATTTGGGTTTGTGAATGGGGTTGTGTTTGTGTTTGAGTCGATTGTTTGACTTTTCCTGATAGCTATCGGTGTCTCTCACGCCTGGCTCTAGTTTAATTCCCGCTCTTGGAGGGTAACAATGTGGCAAACATGGCGTATTCCTTTCACCGAAAATACCAAACTCCGGCTGCCAGAAATTTTCTTTGTCACACGGCTTCACAAACTGAGGCAATTTTATAGCAAAGCTACATCCCTTTTTGCTCCGAACGGGAATCGAACCGAGAATCACAACGCGGGAAGCTAGTACGCTGCACGCGAGCCATTCTAGAGGATTTCATAATCTTTAAATTCATTTTTACTAGCAATCGTATATCACACCATTTAAATTTCATCTTTAATCTATTAATTAAATGTTACGTCATTGAGAAGATAATATTCAGAAGCCGATTGGTTTATGTAAAAAGAAAGTTTATGAAATAGACAAAAAAATGCAAAAATATTTTTAGAACACTGTTAACTTAAACCAGCCGTGTTCTTTATAATCCAAACCACACTATGAGAAAGTAGTCAGTTTGGTCATAAATATTATTAGAATGTTACGCCTGCTACGGTAGTGGACGTAAAGAAACAAAACCGCAAAGAAATGGATGCTTGTAGTCTACCTCACATAGCCTGCACTGGAGAGGGGGAAACAAAGCCCCTAGTAAAATAAGGATACGGTGTGCATAGGAGACGTAGTGACAGTCGGCCTCTATCACCGGTAGCCGAGCAGAACGCTTCATGTACGGTGCGGTGAAGTGGAGTTCTGTGAAAGATTGCACGGTGAAATGTTCACGTGATTTTGCAAAGTTTGTAGATTTTGTATAGTTGTTAAGTTCAGTAATGTTAAGTTAGTGTATTCTGATACCAGTTCTCACACTTAATTGCAGAATTATTTATAAATCTAATCTAAATGCGGAAGTAAGGAGTAAAATAAGGATACGGTACGCGCCAGACTGGTATTAGACGGGGAGGCGTTGTTAAATGATGGCAAGGACGTAAAGTTGAATTTAGGAGGGGAATAGAATTACATTTCATTATCAATATTATTATTATTATTATTATTATTATTATTATTATTATTATTATTATTATTATTATTATCTTTCTTCACAGCTTTTACTGTTCGGTATGTCAACCACTCTCAGAAATGATGATCAGATGTGCAATAGCTTTATTTAAGATTCAGGTGGCTTTTAACAATACATCATGTATTCACGATGACTGACTACTACATACTGTATATATTTCTGGCATCCAAGTGTAGACACTGTAGTGCTCGAAGTGTCATTTTCGGTATTATTCCTGTGGCTGACATTATTAAAGTCACAGTTGTCACTTTGCTGAAGTTCCACTGAGTGCGACTTCATAGGCGAGATCGGTATATTTCTGGATCTTGTCTTCATGTTTTGTCAATATGTTGTGGGTATTGGCAGAATATATCGATAACAAACCTGCTGATGGTTTCTATCGATGTAAGTAATATCGGGTCTATTGCAGCCGACTTGCTTGTCATATTATTATTATTATTATTATTATTATTATTATTATTATTATTATTATTATTATTTTGGGAATAAGTAAAGAACAATGAAAATTATGTTAGCGTCATGCAATTTTAGGGATTGAATTGCAAACGGGCGTGCGTTATAAGAAGATAATTTAGATTAGGGACAAGATCGGAGCCATAACATCTCATGAACATTTCATTTATGGATGTTAAAAAGTGACGCGGTTAGGCTTCCGTCACAGGCGAAAGAATAGAGAAGTGTAGCTCTCACGGACAAAGTAAATGATGATGTGACAAACTAGCTAATAATTTAAGAAAGTTGTAGTTAACATTTTTTTAAAAGACAGGCACCGAATAGTAACACGATAAAAACAGGCAGGGAATATCATTGCAATGACTAAAGAGAGAAGACATCTTAAGGACACTGGACGTCCTTTTCGTCCTGTATTCATCCGAGAAGATATGAAGTAAGCAAACGAGACATTTCAGTTGACGATAAAACGAGACAGTTCTGTTGATTTGTATCAAAAAATGACTATGATCAGGTTTACCATTGATAAATGAGCTCATTAAGTAATGTGTTGCTGATTTCGCTGTGAATAAATAGTACTCTATTTGTTTACTTGAAGAAAATGGCTGGTTATTTATCTTAGCTTGAAATCAATCGAAAAATGCTTCAGCTAAACAAAATTTCCAGATATAGCTGGTCCGTACGACCGGCCCGTGTTCATACAACCACGTAAGTAACAATCTGTTTTAAGTTGATACCCTCAGGACGAAGGATTTGGAAGGTAAATGTAATTGATATTTGTCAGCAATGTCGTAATATTAATAATAAGAGGAAACTGATGCCAGAGGAAACCGAGGCCAGAAAAGTGTATTATGACATACAAGTTGCGGAGACCTCCCCATAGTCACCAGGAGTCACCGGTGTTTGCCCTGCAAACATGGCTAGAATATGTCTACCCACAAGGAACCAGAATTAAATGCAACCGTTGGCATCCGCGGCCGGATTCAGTATTTAACTGGCTGTGCGGGTGTCGCCGCGTCCATGGCAAAGGTGCCGACGTTTCGGTCGCCATTTTAATTAATTAATTACCAATTAAAAACCAGCATCAAGACGACAGTCGGGAACGAACACGCAGACCCGTCTACTTCGAAGTCGCCCATTCCCTTCCACACGGGTTGCCATGCACAGCAAACACATGGGGTGGCGTTCAGCATACAGAGAAGGCCAGTGAGGAAGCAAAAAAGAATAAGAAATAATATATGAATCATGAAATGAGAAGCAAGATGAAAAATGGAGAAAAGGAACACCTTAAAGCTTCTCTGCATCCCCTCGTCAGGACGTGGACCGCCCAACCTCGACGGGAATATTCACAAAAGAAAACGATCACCAATTTCTACTTCTAATTACATACACCATTGGATTAACTTTCTGCGTATTTATAACATATCTTTTACCTCTGTAGTTCACAGCTTTTGCGGCAATATTTTTTTCATCTCGACGGTTTGTTTGTTGCTATATAGGTATTATGGTGAGTTATCGTTGGCATTTCACATTAAAACGTGAATATTTTTTGATTTGACAACAAAATTACAATAAAGGTTACTAATAATTTACAATTTTTGGAAAATATATTCAACATTCTAAGAACTGAAAGAAAGAAAAAAACACACATTACATATCCATGTTTTCTGTTTCAAATTTTACGAGTTCTAATTCTATTTCATTCACTTTCCTTTAGTATTAAATGACTTACCCCTTTTTTCTTTCTTTCTTTCTTTTAGTTCTTAGAATGTTAAATATATTTTCCGAAAATTGTAAATTATTAGTATCCTTTATTATAATGTCTAATCAAAAAATATTCACGATTTAATGTTTTTGTTCTTGTACAAGAAAACTGATGATGATGGCTAAGGCATCGAAAGCTGCTTCTTTTTTAATAAATAATATTGTTGGCAATGACGACGCATATAATTATTTCATGACTATTAAGTGATTCGGAAATGAGACACGAGACGAAGTTTCCATCCGGACCGTATCGCTAGGAGCGTCAGTTGCTATCTCCTTTCCTGCGGAATCTCAGTCAATGGTGGCGCCCTAGGATTCATTGATTGATTGTTAGTGACTCCGGGTGCGTTAACTGCTAAGGTCATTAGTCGCATACGTGTAGCGCATGTATTTTCTCTAGAGGTGTCGGTGACGAGATCCGTCACCGACCTATCGTCGGTTTGCGGGGTTTCCAGAAGCAGTTACCTCCCCACTGCGGGACACCGTACTAGCTGAGACAAACTCTAAGCTCCCGACCGGACTCAGGACATATGTGGTAGTGCAGTACGTGGAAGTCTAGGTGTAGGTTAGGGGTGAGGATAGGACAAGGAAGAGCAAGGAAAGATCGCGCGCTGTCCGTGGACTGTTTGTTAGGGTACTGCTTCGGCATTCGCCTGGTGTTGATTGGAGAAATCACGGAACACTGCCGATCAGAGAAGCCGGCCGCTAGAATCCTTCTCTAGACAGTGACTGAATTTCACAGCTTGTGTCGAAAATCTGTCATAATCTGGGTTGAAACTCTAGGTCTTCCCGGTGAGAGTCGCTGATAAACAGCGGCAACATTGGCTCTGAGATAAACTCAGGCGGCTTGCAAAAAGATTGGTAGTATTTGTAATTTGGTGTTTGTGTCTCTGCAATAGTTAAACATTGCATGCAGCAGAAAAAAAGTTTACTGCGCTACAGTACACGAGATATTAACGAAACTTTCTTTTTCTTGCGAAAATGGTGGTACAGCTCTAATTAAGTCATACCACAGTTTGCACTAAAACGTTTTAAAACCAACACTCAAAGTACATATCACTTGCAAACGTTTCTTTTTTGCTTCCGGCATTCTGTGAAATTGTATATCTTTGCTGATGCCATCCAATGCATTTTTAAAACGTTTGACCAAAATACTTCTTGAAGTTGTGCTAACTCTGATGTACATTCAAGTCCTGACGCTAGAACCATACTACATTATATTCAGGAACATGCGTAACTTCTTATATGTTAGAAAATAGTGAATTTTCTTATATCAATCCCATTGGTAGAAACAATACAGAGACAAACCCGTTTCAACCACTGAATTACACATCACCAGGAGACTATGAAGAGAACTAAAGAATCCCACGTTGAAGAGCTTGATGATTCATTTGCTTATATTTTTACGTAATTTTTTAAATATATAAGTAAAATTTTGAGGAGAAATCAACGAAAACTACCGATCAGAGCAGCCAACCGCTATAATTATCCTACAGTCAGTGACTGTATTCGACCTAGCTGACATGCTAATGTCGAAAATACTGTCACTTTCGGGACTGCACTACAGTGATATCAGTTGATGCCCTGAGCCACCTTTGCCGGTTTGAATCACTCGATAGGAAATGCTTCATTGCCAGCGTTGC